GAACCAACATGGAATTAATCTAGTATGGATGAGATACCGGGAGGTGTGCAGTCACCACACGTGGAACAGGTTAGGTGGCCGCGCCCATCCGGGAAGTTTTTACACTGGCTTATCTGGCTCCCAGACCTATATGTTCATGAAACTCATGATAGTTCATGAGTTTGGGGAGCAGAATGGTGACACAGCAAACCGATGAAAACTAGGGTGCAGATGATGTTTTCATATGCCGTCAGCCCGCCCCCACCAATGGAGGTTGTCAAGAAAAGCACGAAAATGTAAGTTCAAATGCAAAGCAAATAGGCTTATCAAACTGTGCAATGGTCTTTTGGGGTCTGCTATAACGTAAATAAATTGAAGTACTCCCAGTTTTTCTCTCAAGTTTCAATATTTTGTGCTATTTGACGTCACACATTTTAATATCATTTCGGTCAGAAACATCGTTGGTAACAGTTTATCATAAACCTTTTTGTAACATGGACATGTAATGTGTTATTGATATTTATGTCCACATTATATCATCCTATAATAAAACATCCTACGCTGTCTGTCTGTCTGATGGATGTCTGTGTGTCGCGTTTTTTGCGGCCTAAAGAGTATGCGCAAGCACAAAATACAATGGTAAATGGATAGGCTTGGTTTAGCCCCATAAATGTGGCCTATTTACTGGACTGCCTCCGTAAACATAGGCCACACATCCACATGTACAAAAACGTGTCGACTTTGCCAAATTTTGATTTTCACATTTAGGCTTACTTTGTAGGTTTTTTTTGCTTTAGAAGCATTCTCACCCTCTATATAGGCTAATCAGAAAGTGCTGCCTTTTTCAGATGTCCATTTTTCGTGAAATTTCCAGATACATTTGCCCACGTTTGCGTATCAAAATTTCAACATGAAATTTCACCAAAATTAGACATCTGAAAAAGGCAGCACTTTCTGATTAGCCTATATAGAGGGTGAGAATGCTTCTAAAGCAAAAAAAAACCTACAAAGTAAGCCTAAATGTGAAAATCAAAATTTGGCAAAGTCGACACGTTTTTGTACATGTGGATGTGTGGCCTATGTTTACGGAGGCAGTCCAGTAAAATAGGCCACATTTATGGGGCTAGGCTTGGTTATGCAGGTCCTTAAATAGCATCTAATATATGCTCATATTTCACTACCCTCTGAAGTCACGGTTAGCACATGAAAAAAAAAACAGGTTTTTTTTTTCTTTTTGCTTTTTTGGCATTTTTTTTCTTTCAGACTTTGAACAGACTTATATATTCAAATTGCATACCCCGTGCTCTTCAAAAATGTGTTTGATTCTTCTCACGAATTTTCCAATACGGGGCGTTTATAGCGAGAGCCGAATTGTTGTCTCGCAACTAATACAGTAGAACGCCACTATGATAACGAACTTGATGGGGTCCATAAAAATGTGTTCATTATAGTGGTCGTTCGTTATAGTTTATTGTGCATTGCAATATAATTGACTATTTCGAGATCAAAAGGGGATGTTCGTTATAGCCAAACGTTCGTTATTTAGCCAACTGTTCGTTATTTAGCCAAAAGTTCGTCATAGCCAAACGTTCGTCATAGCCAAATTTTCCTTATAGCCAAATTTTCGTTAAAGCGGTGTTCGTTTTAGCGGGGATTTTGGTGTAATTCAAATTTTGTAAAGAACCAATTCAATAACTAAACGTCAGTTGATTTGTTTTCGTTCGATGTCTCATTCAAAAGTGAATATTGTTATATTGAGGAAAAAATCTGAATAGCACAGGGAATTATCTTTAAATCGTCAGTGCCAGAAGACATGCTATAGGCCTATAATAACGCTCGAAAATCTTTTGAAATAAGATGCGAAATAGATTCAGGCTTAATATGATTCGGGCAAACTTAGGGGGTATATATACCAAGTGGACCCAATAGACAAAAAAATGCATAAAATTTTTGCCCAGTGGCTCTCGGGGGACATCTCAAAGAATAAGTCACCATGCTAAAACGCAGTAGACGGATGCGAGGGCGTCTACTTAATGATTAAAGATGGCACCGTAATGGCAGCATGATACGGGGAAAGGTGTCGGCGAGTGACGGGGCGAGACCGGTCAAGGGGCCCAGGCATTAATAATGGACCTGTTTGTGGCATGGCTTAGGCCTACTTTCCCCTTGAATATGATACAATAATTCATATAACGACAGTCATTTATCATCGTTTCTGACGACAATCCGTGTATAATACATTGTGTCTTATCGGCATTAGCTCAACAGTCATCGTCCACTGCGAATGCAGCAATACCATAACGGTGCACATGCTTATTTTATGACTTAGAGGGTGTCTAATGCGAAAAATGGTTAGTCTTTCGAATTCAGATTGTTGCATTGAACATAATGCAAGTTCTGACCACTTTAACCATTTTTTTTTGAGGAAAAGATGACAGTGTCTGCCTTTATTGCAACGTCACTTAAAAAAAAGAAAAATTGGGTTCTTTTTTTTTTTGGGGGGGTGGCCCCCGTTGCCCCCCCCCCCTGCGATCCACCCTTGTAAATTAACAGCAATATGACTTCGCAACTATCCCCCCCCCCCCCTTTTTGCCCTTTTTGTCCTTTTGGGGGTTGGGATGGCTTTTCCAGGGGGGAAAGCGCCCCCTTGCACCCCCCTCGCGACGCCCATGCCTTTAATCATGTTACAAGCGCAACTCACAGCATGCATAAAATTTAACTTGTTTACCTCGTTATGTTTTGTTGGGTATTATTTAAGCGAGTTGGGCTTTTTTGCTCTAACCAATGACGCGTGCATGACCTAACTCACAGATAGATTGTTTTTGCTATCAAAAACTTTGACAAAATTTCGAAGATAATGCGAGGATAAGTCATTCTGTCTTTAAAACCATACAATATATGACTTTCAAACTTTCAAACACGAAAAGAGTGCCCTTAATATGCCCAGAAATGTTTTATCTATAAAACAAAACCCTCAAATTTTCTAGTTAGGCTGATTCGCCAGCCAATGGCCGGGCTGGTGTTGCCAGACACCTCCGTCACCCAACCAGTAAAATAAGATAAATTGGGGACCAAAATTTCACTTTTGTTGAGCAAAGAAACTTTATTGAAAATTATTCCGACAGAAGTCACAGTACGACTTCGTCATTAAAACTGGACAACTTTAAAGTATATTGTCTCTCATACTAATTAAACAAAAATGTCATCACATCTGTCAAACATAAGTATACATGTAGTTTGGATCAGCTCCATTTTCTTCCAGAGATGTTAACGAACAGATCAAAAGAGAATACATTTCCAAAAACTGAACTTCTAGTCAGAGATTGAATAATTTTGTTTATGGCAGAAACATCTTTTGTAGGAAAATAAATATTGAAATTAATGACATTTGACACATACACCATACATTCTCAACCAAGTGGCAAATGTCAACAACATTAAAGGCTTTTTGGTTCAAAACAACATATGCATATTTGTTAAATAAAATTACTTGATGTTTTTGAAAACTTTACTCTGACAAAAGGCTCTTTTTACAGGTTTCATATTGAAGTCAATCCGACCATAATATGCACTTTGCTTAAACAAACTGGTATTTACTTGAAACTCTTCATGCAAATGAATCTTTAATTTCACACATTTCCAACTTTTCCAAATATAGAAACTTTTCTAAACAAAATTTACTTGGTATGAGTAGTTTTTTAATTTAAATTAATATTATTTTCAAATCCTGTATTAAATAGTTACCTGTAAACGAAAAGTCAAATTCTTTTTAAAATCTGTTTATGGGCAATAATCCATTTGCGAGTGACCAATATCCTTTGGGATCTAATTTTGAAAAACATCTGGTACACTGACTTGCTCAGAATGCTTGGCACATTTTAACTTTGAATTCTCTAGACCAAAGACACTGTTGCTAATCACATGATTCGGGGCAAGCTCTTGCATAGTTACGTACGAGACGCTCAGCACCAATACATTGTTCACAATGGGTGAGAATGGCACAAAGACGCCAGACCATGCCAGAGCTGGGGGTTGCTAGCATAAGGCTTGCCCCGAATCACGTGATATAGTAACAGTCTCTTTGGTCGGGAGAATGCAAAGTTAAAACATGCAAAGCATTGGATTAAGTCAACATTCCAGATTTTATTCAAATTTGACTCGTAAATGGCTTATTCCATGCGTTACGTAATGTCTGTGACAGAGTTTTAAGAACTTGGTGAATAAACCTGAAAATGCAGTTTTCAAATCTTATACTTTTACATCCAGCATCTAGTAATGGTCCAGGAGATTACAGACTAGAAGTTTCCCATCATTTCTCGAAATCATTAATTAGATATCGCTGTTAATTGGCTCTGTCACGGACATTACATGTCCTTTAATAAAGCTGGAATAAACCACAAAGGAAACAGATTGTGTTTACTTTATAACAAACACTTGTATTGGGTTCAGCAAAACAAAACTGAATGGAATAAGATTTTAACTCTGGAGCACCGTACGACCGTTATGGCATCCGAAGGCTGCGGGTTCAAGTCCAGCAAAGTTTATTATTTAATAATCATGTGTACACGTACTCAGTAGAGCAACGAAATTGCCCCCAAACACTATTTGATCCTCTGCAGCGTCTCAACGCCAGATAGCTGGAATCAGTATTGTAGTCTGGTCCATCACAAGTCCAGTCACAAGTCCACTCACAAGTTCAGGCACAAGCAACAGTGGATGAACAATAACAAAAGGATGTCTTAAGCAAGGTTCATTTGAGTAGTTTGTGATTTGAACAGGGACTTGGGGACTTGTGATGGACATGTGATGGACATGTGATGGACATGTGATGAACATGTGATGGACATATGGACATGTAATGGACATGTGATGAACATGTGATGGACATGCATGTGATGGACTTGTGATGGACATGTGATGGACTGGTGATGGACATGTGATGGACATGTGATGGACTTGTGATGGACATGTGATGGACTTGTGATGGACATGTGAAGGACATGTGATGGACATGTGATGGACATGTGATGGACATGTGATGGACATGTGATGGACATGTGATGGACTTGTGATGGACATGTGATGGACATGTGATGGACTTGTGATGGACTTGAGATTGACTCGACTACAACACTGACTGGTATGGGGTCCCAGACGTCGCAGGTTCAATTCCTGCTCAAGTTCTTTGTCTTTGCTTACACCAGTATTTATAAATCAGTAAACTGTTTGTTAAATACACAAGTAAATCTCTGAATCTAAATAAGTCTTGCTGTTGACATCTACATTAGCTTGGCCCAGTTTGACTGGAGTTTCTTCTCTTCTCTAGAAGGTTCTTCAAGAAGAATTCACCTGTAGAAAGACATTTAAAAACTAGACTTAAGTTTGTGGACAAACACAGGGCTGTTTCGGCAACTTTTTGTGATATTTGACATGTAACATTTTTCAACCTACTGCTAGAAGGCGCTCTAACATATGCTGTTCCTGGTAATTTATTTGGTAAAGTACAACCTAGCCAGAGACTGACATCGTTGAAAGTAAGTTCACATCTTTTTCCACTTTCAAATTATAACGCACTTCCGGTTTGGTCAAGGAAGGGTCATGTGATTTAGCACACATGAGATAAAATGAAGATCCTGGATTACCCAAAGTGCCGGGAACAAAAAAACGTGTACAAATGCTATGGGCAAAAAGACTGAAAAAGAAAACAAAAATCTTAACGAAAACAAAGGCTGTTTCAGCAAATACATTGTATGCCGAAAAACCAATCAGTGCAGATCAAAGAGATATGTTCATTGTGAACTTTACTACAGTACTAACTCACTGCACTTTAGCCTGCAAGCACATAAGAACAATCCCAGTATCATGGACATTACAAATCAGACATTTTTTTTTATTTCAAGAGCTTAGTGAATAAACCTGAACATGTCTTTTTTCAAATCTTATACATCCATCATCTAGTAATGGTCAAGGAGATTACAGACAAGGAGTTTTGGGGTCAATTCTATAAATCAAATTATATTTTCTTCCAAAACGCTTGATTTGCCGTACATATTTTTCCATAAACAATTCAATCTTGGAATTTAGTACGGTTATCTGCATAGCTGCATTTGTAATTAATGCCATAATTATTAAAGCCAGTATGCCCCACAGCAAAATGCGATCAGTACAGGATAAATTAGCAAACACTTGCATTGATCTCTGCTGTATACGATTGTTGCACATTGCAAAAAGGGCATATTACAAGTATTCATAATTCCATTCATTGTATAAATTATCATCTTTGTTTTTGTGCGTTGGACGCCTTTCTAAGTATTTTTTTTGGAAGGTTAAAATTAATCGGTCCTTTTTATTACCAAGAAAAATGCTCAATGCAGTACCAGCACAAATCTACTTTATGGCTTAATTGTCAACTAATTAAAATGCCCATGGCCATACTGAAATAACAGGTACAGGCCATATACAGTTCAGAAGGTGAAATTGGACACACTAAGTGCTCCGACAAAACGTAATGGCACAATCAATTTTGATCTGTTATATGATCAGCTTTTGATCTCTTTGTATATTGAGGGTCGTGTGCAGTTTCAATTTTTTTTTTCAATTACCAACCGGTAGCTTATATGCGTATGAAACCGAATACAAATTAAAGGCACTAAACGATAAGGGAAGAATACAAAACTAAACGAGTGGTAACTTGAGGTTAAACCCAAAGGCACCCCATAACACCTCATAAAACCTCGGATAAACCGAAAGGTTGAACCCTGAGGTACCCCTTAACCCTAACCTCACCTGTAGTAGAGTAGAAACCTGTAGTATGCATTTCTTTCCATGTAAGTGCGCACAAAACATGTAGTATTCTGTGGTATTTTGTCATTGACCCCAAAAGAGCCTTTGGGATGTTAGGGTTAAACCCTGTAAAACCTCACAAGACCTCCATAAACCTTGATGTTAAACCCTGAGGCACCCTGCAAAACACTGTAAAACCTCATAAAACCTCGGATAAACCTTAGGGTTGAACCCTGAGGTACCCTGTAAATCCCGTTAAAACCTCACAAAACCTCCATAAACCTTGATGTTAAACCCTGAGGCACCCTGCAAAACACTGTAAAACCTCATAAAACCTTGGATAAACCTTAGGGTTGAACCCTGAGGTACCCTGTAAATCCCGTAAAAACTCATATAACCTCAGATAAACCTGAGGTTAAACCCTGAGGTACCCTGCAAAACCTCATTAACCTCATAGAACCTCAGATAAACATTGAGCTTGAACCCTGAGGTACCCCGTAAAACCTTGGATAAACCTCACATAAACCTTGTGTTTTTGCCTATTTAATTAAAATTGCAATCGCCCCTAAATTGGCCATTCAAATAAAGGCTGGTGCCACTTCACAGGCAATTCGGGCGATTCACAATGCAGTGCACCATCAAGAGTTTGCCACGGAGAGTTCATTTTTCCCAGTGCATTGTGGGAGATTGTCGACAAATTCGCAGCGCGGGACATTTAAAAATTGTTAGTTTTTCCGGTCAGTGGTTTCTTAAGCGTATGATTCGAGGATCTGTTTGCCCATTTCTTTTCTTGTTATCAATATGGTGTTTTTTGTAAGGCGGCAGAACGCTATCCTCCAATCTATGACATATTAGCTCAAGTTGTCTACCGACACTCATTCAAATGAGCCACGTTTTGTCCACCGTAAACTTGAAAAATGGACTCTCCGTTGCAAACTCTTGGTGGCGCACTGCATTGTGAATCGCCCGAATCCATCCCACTTTTAGCGCATTAATTTTAGTAATTCTTTATGTGTGTGTGAAATGAACTTAATTAGACAGTTCTGCCGTGATTATTTGTAAAAAAAACAAAAAACATTAAATTCAATTCATTTTTCAAGGTTAAACCATTTGCCGCAAGCGCTTTACGTTTGTACGACATTCAGACTATTTTAACAGAGCATTTGATCTTTCACCTCACCTGCTTTATAGGACGATCTGACCAGGGGCCCGCTAGCCGTGTAGGCAAAGCCCAGTTTGTTGCCAACTTTCTCCCAGTAGTCAAACTTGGCCGGCGTGACGTACTCCGACACCTTGAGATGCCTGCGTGTGGGCTGCATGTACTGGCCGAGTGTGACGCACTCCACGCCCACTGCTCTCAGATCTGTGTGGGGCGGACAAGAAACAGTAAGCCATTTTTGTCTCTCCACTGCATGTGCGCACACCAATAAGTGACCATTTCTCTTTTGGGGATGGAATGTTTCGCCGTACGTGTGCGAAATCAAGGCAATTGCTGCTTAAGATTTATAACTTTGCATGACGGCAGTGGCGAGGTGCTATGGCCTCGTGGTCTGGGGCACTGAATTTGAGGTCTGCGGGTAATTCTTCAGGTTGTGGGTTCAAGTCCAGCCTGCGGCTGTGGTGCGTGTGCCCTTGGGCAAGGCACACTGTCACAATGCTTCTCCCCACCCAGGAGTATATTGGGTACCTGTGAGGGCAGAGATGGTTATCGTGGCTGATTTTAGCTGCTTTGCGCCAAAATGGCAGCCTCGACCTGCATACTCTCCATGGAGCTGAGATGGTATTTGGAATGTTTCATTGGCCCAATGAGCAGGGTAATAATGATGTAGCGCCTTGAGCACCAATACTGGTGGATACGTGCACTTTATAAATACACGTTATTATTATTATAAACTCTCAAAACAGCGCTATCCAAGAGACGAGAAAATATTTTTTTCACAAGCTTGCTCGTTTGAACATTCCAACTACTTCCAACAAACTGACTAACCTTTCATTGTTTGGAAGACTTCATCGTCTGTCTCCCCCATCCCTAGCATGATGGAGGATTTGGTGATGACGTCGGGATGAACCTTCTTGGCGTGAGACAGCACCGCCATGGACTGCTGGTAGTTGGCACGCGGATCCCTAACAAAACTAACACACAAATGGCAACAAGAATAAGTAACACGTATCAAAATGACACCCCTTTCATGTTTAAGCTCAGGGGTGTGGCCGAACCAATTTGAATGGGGGGTGTGGCAACAAATGTGCAGACACATACCATCCGTGCTGAAAAGTATCCAGGATTTTTTTGCCGGTCATCCGGCTGCCGCAAACTCAAAAAGTGGGGGTGTGGGTGGAGTATGTCGATAGGGAGGGGAAAAGCACCATTTGGTGGACAATAAATGGTACTATTTGTTGAGGAATATTTACCGACTGACACATGATTTTACCGACAGAAAAGGATGATGATTTCACCAAAAAACAGAAACCAATTAATTGGGGGGGGGGGGGAGGTGTTGAAATAAGGCTTTGTACAATAGTATTTTTTCAGTCAGCACCACTAACATGTACATGCATACATGTAATCAAACTGAAGTAAATTACAGCAGCTGATATTTAGATGATGAATCGTGCCCACATTTATCTGCATGTAAAGCTTAACCCTAACTTACCTCAATCCTCCAAAATCTTCCAAAATCCTCCAAAATCTTCCTGGCGGTTTTGGAGGATTTTTGGAGGATTGAGGATGAATGGCGTTGGAGAAACATGAGGATTCTGGAGGATTGAGGATGAATGGTGATTGAAGCACATGAGGATTTTGGAGGATTGAGGATGAATGCATTTTGAGAGGTAGGACTGTCCTACGATTTTGAAGGATTGAGGTGCTGGGTATCCTTCATTTGTACACAAGTGCACACATGTGTTGGGTTTTGGAGGACTGAGGATGGTTCCCAGCAAAAAGGGACTGGGGGTTAGGATTAAGCAAAGATAATTGATTTGAGTGGAGTTTGATTGACTTAAGTGAAGTTTGAATCTGCGACCTTTGTATTTAATACCATACCAGTGCTCAACCGATATAGCCCTCCGTTGGCAGTCTCCTTATTTGCAAATTGATGTTCTTTGGCCAAATCTATAGAGGAAAAGCAACTATTACTGCTTATTCCCTTGAGTCTGGAGTGGGAGATGCGGTATTCACTCACATTTGAAGTCTTTCCACGGTTTCAATGTTGTGGGCGTAGACGTCTAGTCCCGACAGCGCTACCCTCTCCACTGCTTCCATATCACCCCTGAAGTCTGGGGTCAAACACTCCACTAATATGGAGCTCCTGTGGGTGTGGAAACATTGGGGAATCTGATTGGCGCAGAAGTACGTTCTTCGCCTTCCACCTCTGTGGCTGCATTTCAGATCCAGGCCACCATAGGGATTGGGTTCTCAGGCTCTATCTGATTCCATTTTTTGGTTTTTATGGGAGGTTTTCCTTCTACCTCTAAGATTCAACCATTTCTTTTCTTTTCCTTACAGGTTTCTTCATGCATTATGGAGGAATGTGTTTTTTATTGAATTTGGATTGAAAAGAATTTAAGTGGAGTTCTGTGGCCTCGTGGTCTGGGGCATTGAATTCGTGGTCTGCAGGTAATATTCTGCAGGTTGTGGGTTCGAGTCCTGCCTGCGGCTACGGTGCGTGTGCCCTTGAGCAAGGCACTTTGTCACTCATTGCTTCTCTCCACCCAGGAGTAAATGGGTACCTATGAGGGCAGAGATGGTTATTGTGATTGAATTAGCTTCCTTGCGCCGAAATGGCAGCATCGAGCTGTATACTCCCCAGGGAGCTGAGATGGTATTTGGAATGTTCATTGGCCCAATGAGCAGGGGTAATAATGATGTAAAGCACTTTGATACTAATTAAAAGGGCTATACAAGAACCCGCTATTATTTACATATTCAAATTTGCAGAAATTTCCACTCGCTTTTCCGCTTTGTTATTTATTGATCATGGTGCTGATGTTCTTAAGCAAGGCAGTTTACTACAATAGGCCCTCGCTACACGTACCTCTTCTTGAGTTCAATGACCGTATTTGCAAAGTGGGTGGAGCCTCCGTCTGGTAAATCTGTCCACAACACAAAATTTCAACTTTCATCAGTCAAGTCAGTATAAATATCAGCATGAGTACAAGTAAGAATAAACCTACAACTTACAAGGCATTTTTTAAAAATTGAATGCGGTGAATAAGAGTATGATGTCCCCTTACATGGCTCGGCCAAGTTGTCCTTTCAGTCAAAATCAATCAAGTGACTGTTTTCAACAGTTAAGAGCTCCCAGCCTACATAAAGCAGGATTGACTGGCTGTGACTGTTAATGTAACTTGATATAGCTGTGCTTTGACTGTAGCTGATTGATAAGACAGCTGATCCACCAGTTTCTGCTTTTTGTCTGTTGACTGAATTTGACTGGTCACAGTGCTTGCTTGACATATGATCTGACTGCTGGTGACTAGCCTGTGTTAAAAGTATAGCAGGGGAAGTGGATGGACTGTGTGTGACTGTTTAAATAGTAGGAGGGTTAATCTGAGTACTACAGCACTGTTTCATACCATCTCTGTCTACAGACGTCAGCACCACATAGTCTAGTCCCCACTCAGCGATGGCCTTGGCCGTGTTGGCAGGCTCGTTGGGGTCTGGAGGGGGCGGCTTGCGGGCCGTCTTCACTGAACAGAACCTGCAACCTCTTGTGCATGTGTCTCCTAGAAGCTGTTGAGTAGAACAATAATCAGAGACAGATTCAGGTGTAGAATGGGTATTTGAATAAATGTGGACTACCCGCTCTGGTGTTCTATATGTGCATTAAAGCCAGAGTCCATCATTTGCAGCTATCCGAAAAGTAACTGGCGTAATTATTGTTGAAAAACATACTAGATTGAAAGATAGTAAGGGGACTAAACTCCCTGTGAAATTATTCTTTCTGGCAAGCTGTCATTTTGAAGTAATCAACGAAAGAAGGCCTTTCCAACGGTGCTTCTTAAGACGCACCGTAGGAAATTTAAATTAGTAGTTCGTTTTGTTATTCGGCGAAGCGCACGCAAGCATTGGCACGACGCACACGCAGTTGCTGTAATTCGTCGGATCAGTGCGCGACATCGCGTAGCTGCAATCGGCTCAGTGAGAACGCGTCTCGGACGCTGAACTCAGGCCCAATTCAAAACATGATTCAGCAACTTTTGATTTGAAATTGAGATCCTAGAATGTTGTTTTTCTCGGAATATACAGCTGAAGCTGAGCTGAAACTTCATCAGGTTAGTTGTTCAGTACCCTTCTTTAGATTTTGTGCACTTTTGTTGCTTCAAACGAACAAAATGCACAAATTACAAATGATGGACTAAATCTTTAAATTCTATTCTAGTACTGTTCAATTGCCATTTTGAATATCAAACTTGCTTCGAAAGCATAACAGTGTAGTATGAGTAACTATTTCCAGAGTTTTAGCCATGTCCATCATAAGTTAAAAAACAAGTCTATCACAAGTCAATCACAAGTCAAATACAACTAGTCACCATAATGTCTTCACCCGTTCTTTGGAATAGCTTGCGATTTGGCTGGAGACTGATCGACTTGTGACTGACTTGTGATCGACTTGTGACCGACTTAGGATAGACTTGTGACTGACTTTTGATTGACTTGTGATGACTTGTGATCGACTTGTGATCGATTTGTGAGCCACTTGTGATCGACTTGTGATTGACTTGTGATCGACTTGTGATCGACTTGTGATTGACTTGTGATTGACTTGTGATTGACTTGTGATTGACTTGTGATTGACTTGTGATCGACTTGTGATCGACTTGTGATCGACTTGTGATCGACTTGTGATCGACTTGTGATCGACTTGTGATCGACTTGTGATTGTCTTGTGTGTGACTTGTAATTGACTTGCGATTGACTTGCGATTGACTTGCGATTGACTTGCGATTGACTTGCGATTGAATTGAGATTGACTTGTGATCGACTTGTGATCAACTTGGGATCGACTTGTGATTGACTTGTGACTAACTTGTGATTGAGTTGTGATCAACTTGTGAACGACTTGTGATTGACTTGTGATGGACTTGTGATTGACTTGTGATTGACTTGTGAGCGACTTGTGATTGACTTGTGATTGACCTGTGAGGACTAGACAACAACTCTGCTTACTTTTACTTTTCAAAACAGATTTTTCGTTTTTTTTGGAAATTGTTTACCTCGTTCCAATTTTATCACAAAAACATAGACATTAAAATTCAGGTCAACGTTGTTCATGCATGTATTTGGATGTCGATAGTTTTTTTTTCTGCTACCATCTTTGTCCGGTTGCCTGACTACGCAATAATGATCACTTTGAGCATGTGAAAGGCACCTGACTCCTCAGAGCAACTTTTATACATTTCTCACCATGATGGTTGCCGTCGCTGTCTGATGTTCCCCTCCTCCCCAGCACTCGCCAATGTTGGGACACCGCGCCTCCTCACAAACCTGGCAAGAAACCATGAACGAATTTGTTAAAAGGTAAAAAAAAAAAACAAGTACCAAGTGGTACAACCCACAGCGGCCGGGTAGCAGCGGCGCTGGGTAACGTGTGAAGACGGCCATACGGCACTGTCCGTGCATCCGGGCCATACCGGTACCTTGAGAGTACAGAAAACGAAAAGGAATGGGGCGTGATCTAATAAATTCTTTCAAATGTTAATGGCATGCAGGGGAAATCCAAAACAAGACTATCAGTAGATCCAAGGAAAAGTTCCATGCCTGCAGTGACTAAAACCAGGTGGTAAATTCGAGTGATTTTAGAGGGTTAGTGATACTGCAAAGTTCTGCTAAAAAAATCGGCTGTAGTTCTCACTTGAAAGTTTTGGCAACTACAATTTCATGAAAAGCCTCTCCCATTGGTTGATGCAATATATCGTCACGTCAGTGCAAGAAGGTCGTAACTCCTCTCTGCAACAAAGTCGCATCTCGCGCGAATACGCTCCGTGCAACAAGGTCGTATCTCAACGTCCATTGACTTTGCATGTACATCCGGGTTAGTTTAAATGAAATACGACCTTTTAACATTCTGAACCTTGCGTTTCACATACGGCCCATGTTAGCAGATACGACCTTGTTGCACGAACATGACGATATTCAATAAAAATTCAGGATTGCAACATGTTATAAAAGACTGAGCATGCACTCGAACAATTCATGACTAAAGTTTCCGACTTTTTATGTTCTACGCACCAAATGTTATCAGTCTTGGTGTGTTTCAGAAATTGATTCAAGTTTGACTTACAGTGGTCAGGTTCAGTCCCCGCAGGCTCTCCTTGATTTTGCTGTAGTTCTTCCCGACTGGAATTTCCGTCTTCAACCACGGTGGCAGCCGTAACCTAAAAGTTATACACGCATTAGCACCGTCGATATCAGAATTTTCAATAATTAACATATCGGAAATCCAATATTGAGAATATCTAATACATCGATAATCCCATGTAAAAGTTAGAGACCATAAAGATCACGCTTTGATTTTAAAAATAAAAATCTTTAAGTCCCAATTTTCCACGGTTTTCTCTGGAGCATATTGCTCAAACTTTTTAATACAAATTTCAGCAATGACAGTTTGTCCAGAACAGGCAGTTTCTTTTGAGGTTTTACATTGGGGAGACCGCGAATTCCAGCGAATGCAGAGTTTTTGATTATTACATTAACCCTAACTCCCTAGGCCTTTTTGCTAGGATGTAGCCTCAATCCTGCAAAATCCTCCAATTGGCCTCATGGGAAAATAGCATATAGCCTCAATCCAGCAAATTCCTCCATCATTTATTGAATATGGTCCATGGAGGGGTGACCACTGCCTGAATCCTGCAAAATCCTGCAGCAGTGACTGTCAATATGTTGAGGCTTGGCCAGTGACATCCTGGAGCAGTACGGAGGATTTCAAGCATAATCCAGGCTTATATTTATGCATGGCTGAGCAAAACAACACAAAGTCCGGCCCAAGACCTTGACAAAGTGCATCCTACAAAATCAGTAACGCACTTTTGCCCACGTAACCTCAATCCTCCAAATTCCTCCACTTTGGCAAAGAGGAGTTTGAAGGATTTAGGGCGGTTAGGGTTAATATTGGCCTAAACAATTGATGTGCACTTCATCGCTACCTCTTCATGCCTTTTTCTTTGACCAGTTTGCCGCTGTAGCCATCAGGGGGGCCCTCTGCGGTGTGCAGATCTTCTGTGATGAAGTCGGCCAGGCTGGGTCCCTGTGCCAGTCGCTCCTTTTGTTCTTTGCTGAGCGAGGCGTAGTGACGACTGCCTGATGAAACCGAGGCCCATCTTTGCCGGAGAGGCTGAACAAAAACAGTAAGTTAAAGGTACAGTCCACCATTTGTAATTTGTGCATTTTGTTCGTTCGAAGCAACAAAAGTGCTCAAAATCTAAAGAAGGGTGCTGAACAATATAACCTGATGAAGTTTCAGCTCAGCTTCAGCTGTATATTTCGAGAAAAACAACATTGTAGGATCTCGATTTTGAATCAAAAGTTGCTGAATCATGTTTTGAATTGGCCTGAATTCAGCGTCCAAGACACGTTCTCACTGAGCTGATTGCAGCTACGTGGTGTCGCGCACTGATCCGACGAATTATGGCAACCAGGCGTGCGTGTGCATCGTGTCAACGCTTGCACGCGCTTCGCCGAATAAAAAAAACGAACTACTAACGGAAATGTCCAACGGTAGTTATTAAGAAGCACAGTTGGAAAGGCCTTCTTTCGTTGATTTTTTCAAAATGACAGCTTGCCAGAAAGAATCATTTCACAGGGAGTTTAGTCCCCTTACTATCTTACAACCAAGTATGTTTTTCAACAATAATTACGCCAGTTACTTTTTGGATAGCTGCAAATAATGGACTCTGGCTTTAAAAAAATCAAATGTAAAGGTGCATGTATTGCTCAAATGACCTGTTTGGTTGAAATGTTCCTGTTGCATCTTAGAACAGCAAAGGCATCAAGTGAACAAGAGTGGGGGTTATTATTTTTTTTCGATTCGGTAAGAATACCTTACATAGATGGTGTCTGTGGTCGGTTCCCAGACCAAAAGACTCTGATGTCACACCAACAACGCTTCGCGTGCGTGCACATTAAAACTCAAACTGTAGCTTCGGTACGGAAATGGTACTGTTTTCATCATTTTTTTTGCACCATCGGGGTCGATTCAACCCTTATATTTTTAACGAACAGAACGTGAGTATGTCAAAAAGTACTGGGCATAGTCTTGGGCTAAAATATACAGCAGCCACTCCAAAACTCAACTGTAGTCTTTTTGGTCGTTGCCTGTTTATTATTATTGATAAGAGTATACAGCATGTTCGCAATGATATGCCTACCTATGGGTATTGTGTAACAATTAGACCCATAGTTCTAGGGGTAGACATCACTCTTTGTTCTGTTGTCGATATATCATGAAATATGTTTACAAAAGTTGGACCTATCGTCTAACAATATCAAATATGTGCTGCCCAGCAAAATCTGGGTGATCGTGTACCTACCCTACGGGCCTGGTTCCTAGGGCTAGGCTATAATTTTAGGGAACAAAATCCACTTTTAAACTATTTGACCTACCAAACTAGTAGTCCGAGTAACTTGGACCCAACTTATCGCCTTTTTAAAAATTTGGACATGGTCTGGCGATCGCCAGACCATGTCCAAATTTTTAAAAAGGCGATAAGTTGGGTCCAAGTTACTCGGACTACCAAACTAGTACTAGTTGGCGACATTATTCACGTAAAGGTATCATAGATAAAGGGCAGGGTTTTGAATTTTTGATGGAAATTTGGGAGTAAAATGACGATAAGAACGACAAAACGCAACACCAAAATAAAGATGACGATCACTGCCCGATGTACCGTGAGCACGCAAGTCGCGCTGCACGGCTCCAACTACTGGCCCGTAAACCGCGCAGGAAAATCGTAATTTCTACGCCAAGAAACTGTTCAAAAATTACCAAAACAGCAAAAAGGTGTCAGTGCATTGAGAGAAGTCTGGGTTTTTTTTAGGTTGAATGACAGTCATTTTTTACTTATTTTAGTGTCACTATTCATGCTATAGGCAGACAGGGGCCCTACACTACACGATCGCCAAAATCTCAAGAAGGCACTCTGCTCACTTATTTTAGTCCAATTAAAAAGGAACATAAAATAAAGGCTTACAGTGACAAAATTGGACGATCGACATCCCGAAGAAATGACCCTGATACAGTGCCTGTGGGCTGCCATTTTTACATCATTAATAGTTATACTTTCATACTGTGGATTTTAAATGCCGCCCTCTGTTGATATAATGCATTATGACTTTTGTAACCCAGACGTATTCAAGTAGAAAACAACGAAAAACAAAATGTGGAAACCTGACCAGAATTTTTTTCACAGGTTCCTTGCATAAACTTGTGTCAGTCTTTTACTATCACGGCAATGACGTAAACTGAGTTTTCCGTTGTGTGAAGTGGGGTTCATTTTCCGAAACATAATACTAAAATGATTGCGTACAAGTTTATTATTGAGGGGATTTTTTGTGTGTGCTTTATTGTTAAATTTGGCAGAAGTCGTCTGCGCGTTGTTTGTACGTGTTGTGGGCCGGGTTACTCGCTGGCGGGCCGCTCGTTCGACCTGCCTTTTGTGCCACCGCTCACTTTTCTGTCGGTGTCACTTCAGTGATGACAAAAAACACCGAGACTGCTGATGGCGTTGCTGACTGACTGATGAGTTCAACATAGTTCAACCATAGAGCAACTTTCATTCACAATAAAGGTACGAAACGATGTCGATGCGATGGTTGAGTGAGTGAGTGAGGTCACTCAATCTCAAGACTCAAGTTGAGCATGTTGAGCCCTTGACCCTTGAACGTGGCTTGTACAACGCCACGTTCACGGGTCTAGTTGAGCCCTGGCCTTGTTCGGCGCAGATTTGGAACTTGCGCAAATTTATTGTCATTATTCCTTCTGTTCAAGAGTACATTATCTTAGGTCATGTATGTCATTTTTGTCAACACTGACTGCGCTTGCTTAGGACAATAAATTTGCGTGTGGTCCAAACTTGCGTTGAACATCGTTACTGTATGTTTAATAATGTTGGCCTATGACTTACATTTTTATTTACGTAGCCGCTATCGTTAGGCAGCTGTAATGTAACACCATTCATGCCATTTTCAACTGCCAATTTTTACGGCACTACAAAGTACAAACACGATTGCAAAGAAACGTGTATATCATTCATAATTCATATTTATAACTTAATATAACTGCCCTTCCAAGCAGGCTGCTTTGATTTGGTATTTTGATTGGTTAAACGTAATGTGTGACTACCATGCAGAAGGTCCCGGAATCAAATCTGCACTTTGTCAACTTTTTTGTCTTTTTTGTTCAAGAAAGATCTTATACAATAGGCCTATATTTTCTGTATCAAATTTTGTTTTTCATTGAAGTAGGCCTATTGTTTTTCTTGGTTACAAGAGACGAAGATCCTGACATTGATTATTATCAGGTCAGGAAACCAGACGGTCGACTGACGACCGTCATATTAAACGATAGCCACTGTGTCACTCTAATTGTAGGCCTAAAGCAAACCAAAGAGAGTTTTCGTCCAATATAGGCATAATCGACGTGTTTGTTATGATTTATGCCAGTATTCGTGGATTCGTCCATAGTGAGCATGTGTGAGTCGGTTAGAACAGCCATAGGTTACTCCCAAAACTTAGGAAATTCAGGGTATTCCTTAATTGCTCCTTGTTTCCTTTGTAAAATTGTGATATCCAAAGTGTAAACATTATTATTCCGTAAGCCGTTTCGGGGATACCGCCATCTTGCTTGAAATCGTGATTGCGCAATAGCCTCGGGGGGCACACGTGACCCACGCTGAAAATCAGTAACTTAAAAGGCATGGGGAGGTCAGACCAGTTCTGAAAAATCTATCTTTTTTTCCATGAAAAGAACACAATTTCGGATACAATTATTTCGGAAAAAAATATTTAAAAAAATATCACATGCAAAGGCACCAAGCTCGAAAAAGGAAAATATTATTTATCGCGAAAAAGTAGAGCTCTATCTTGTCTTGTCTTGATGAATACTGCACCAACACCCCTTCTCAGGGGTCACACGGTTAGCTTTGATTAACGACGACAGAGGCTTTGTGTTAGCAACCATATGGCCGTGAGGGCCAAGACCAGATGAACAAGTACACCAACCTAGTCAGGCTGTCTGGCCTAGACCGTTGACAAAGTACACATGTGTCGTCCTTATCCATTGTGCTCTGTAAATGTCAACAAAAAGTGGTATTTGTTGAGTAAACCCATTTTGCAAGGATTTTGTTTTGAACCTTGAAAGTCCATTTTTTTATTGGACAGCACTAACAGTTGCCCATATCATCCACCAAACATGTGAAACCACTGGAGTGTGACTTTACAAATTACCCTTCAACCACAACAATACAAAACGATACTGCAGTAGGTATTCACTACACACAGCACAGTGTGCTTACAAGTACAAGTTTGTATGTATGTACTATTTCATTATTCATACGGATACATGTGGGTTCAGATCTAGATACATTGTAAATGTACAAAGGTCCATTTTAAAGATATATAGTCCATCATTTGTAATTTGTGCATTTTGTTCGTTTGAAGCAACAAAAGTGTTCAAAATCTAATGAAGGATACTGAACAACTAACCTGATGAAGTTTCAGCTCAGCTTCAGCTGTATATTCCGAGAAAAACAGCATTCTAGGATCTCGATTTCAAATCAAAAGTTGATGAATCATGTTTTGAATTTTTTTGAATTGCAGCTATACGCGATGTCGCACACTGATCCGACGAATTATAGCAACTGCGTGGACCTGTGCGTCGTGCAAATGCTTGCGCGCGCTGCGCCGAATAACAAAACGAACTACTAATTTAAATTTTCCTACGGTGCGTCTTAAGACGCACCGTTGGAGAGGCCTTCTTTCGTTGATTACTTCAAAATGATGGCTTGCCAGAAAGATTAATTTCACAGGGAGTTTAGTCTACTTACTATCTTTCAACCAAGTTTGTTTTTCAACAATAATATGCCAGTTACTTTTTCGGATGGCTGCAAATGATGGACTATAGCTTTAAGCAAGAATCCCAAACCATTCAACCCTAACCGCCCTGAATCCTTCAAAATCCTCTTTGCCAGGAATTTGGAGGATTGAGGTTGCGTGGCAAAAGTGCGTTTACTGATTTCGTAGGATGCACTTTGTCCAGTCTTGGGCCGGATCTTGTGTTGTTTTTGCTCAGCCATGCATAAATATAGGCCTGGATTATGCTTGAAATCCTCCGTACTGCTCCAGGATGTCACTGGCCAAGCCTCAACAGATTGACAGTCACTGCCGCAGGATTTTGCAGGATTCAGGCAGTGGTCACCCCTCCACGGACCATATTCAAGAATAGTCAGGTTGCATACGGTTGGAATCGTGACCGATTGGTCCAAAGCACTAAACTTGGCAGATATATTCTTATGGCCCCAGAGAAGATATTTAGAAGGGGTGACACCAGAAATTCATTTGGGAAGGGTGCCTAATTTGCATAAAGCGTTAATCCCTGCCGTGTAATATATTTATTCCCATATTTGGTTAGATGTTAATTTTTTTATTTTTTGAAAAGTATATTTTGGGGATTTTACTTACATATCCTTACTTAAATAACATTTTTTAAAGCATATCAGAGACTTGAAGATTTTGAGGACATAATAAAGATCCAAAATGGCTGCCATTATACCCAAAAGTTGCGCGCATTTCCTTTTCCCTCTTATATCACCAAGTAGTCTTGCCAAACCTCAGTATTGATGAGCTTCAAATTCACAAAGATACTTACTGGCACAGTTACCCCAACAAAAATAAATGGGAAATCATGTGAAAAATTATATCATCTTGATATTTAGCCCACAAAAACAAAGAGAGGGGAAATGAGGTGTCCGTAAATAGGGCTAAACATTAGGCGAAGCCTGCCTAACGTGAGGGACTTGATCGTTTTTGTTTTCTGGGTTAAATATCACAATTTTATCATTGTTCACATGATTTTCCATGAAGTTTTAATCGAGTTACTGTGCCAGTAAGCAACTTGGTGAATTTGAAGCTCATCAATACTAAGGTTTGGTAAGACAACTTGATGATATCTGGAGACAAGATAAATGCGGGCAACTTTTGTGGTATAATAGTAGCCATTTTGGATAGTTACTTTGTCCTCATAATTATTCAGTCAGTCTTAAATGCTTTAGAAAATGTTAGTGAAGTAAGGATGTGTAAGTGGAATCACCAAAATATACTTTTCAAAAAATAAAATAATTAAAAATATACTCAAATATGGGAGTAAATATATTACACGGAAGGGATAAATGATTTATGCAAATTAGGCACCCTTCCCGAAAGAATTTCAGGTGTCACCCCTTCTAAATATCTTCTCTAAGGCTATAACAATATATCTGCCAAGTTTGGTGCTTTGGACCAGTCGGTCACGATCTTGTCAAAAATTAGGCCTAAGCCACCTGACTAGAAATAATGGAGGAATTTGCAGGATTGAGGCTATTCTATTTTTCCATGAGGCCAATTAGAGGATTTGCAGGATTGAGGCTACATCCTAGCAAAAAAGCCTAGGGAATTAGGGTTAAGAGTAAGGATCTAGGCCTGGGATGGCACCTTTTTTTCTTTTGTTAGCCTCGTCTAGGTCGAGACCTTGGATTTCTTTATATTTAAGTTGTACCCAATCGCCCAATTGTCAATCAAACTACACTGGGGCCTGAATTCACTTGAAATCGACCTCCAATCTTTGAATGGCCAGAACCAGACATAGGCCTACAGGTACACAATACAATAAACAATACGATAAACAATACAATAAACAATACAATACATGCATACTATAGTGTATAGTACAGTACAGTGTACAAATTGTATTACTCTTTAAAAAGAGTGTGTTTACAAAAGGTTGGTTGTATACCGGGTGAGTAAAAAAAAAAAGGAAACCCAAATGATTCACCCCTATTTTGTAAAGAAGGTCTGCATGCAGCGCTTTTCAGATATGAAAGCCCGATTAATAATCTTTCCTTTAGTACAAGAATCATTCAAACCACTCATGTACTTTTTCAGTTATGGAATTTTGAACACAAACACCGTTTAAAAATTATGTCCACAGATCACATAAAAGGTACTGGTACATGATATTTCAGTAAGATGAAACCTTGTAGTATCATGGAAATAATCCCATAAGTCTGTGGGTAGCCAAGTAGAAGGCAGGGCGAGACTATAACTAAGTGACATTATAATGCATGTTGTTTTAACATTGGAAGCAGACGGTGTTGAAATAAAGGTTATGATAAGTGCCAGTTATCATGGTTACATGACTGTTATGAGAGTGTTCTGATGTGGTTTTTTTTATATGTGAATTGTTTTCAACTTATTAATTTGTTTCAACTTATCATTTTTTTTTTATCTTCGGCTTCGGCTTTTAAAAATCATCCCTCCATCCTGATATAACTTCAAACTCTTCGCTTAATTAATGCTTTTACTTTGCTTTTACAATACCATTTCAGGGGAGTAATTTCACAGGGTATTTGGTACCATCCCTAACGGTACATGTATCTTTACTTTGAGCGAGAGTTTTCTTATTAATTTAAATCAGTAGTGTTTCCTGGTAAATGCCTATGTTCCTACTTGCCATTAACTGCATTTTGTACAGTACTGTTGTCAGATTTGTTGTTGGAACACAATTAATCTTTATTTACTACTGAAGTTGTAGGTTTCTTGCCAAAAGCCTCTCAATTTCTCCAAGAAAAATGAAGGACAGAGCACAGAATAATGAGGACAGATAGTATAGAGTACCGAAGTGTGACGTCGGCTGTCATTGTTCTAGTTCACTCTGGTTCGCGCGCTGACGTCTTCACACATTTAAGCTTTGCGCGCGGAACAGAATACGCGGCGCACTTCGGTACTCTATACAATTAATAAGACAAACAGCGATCACATTTCTGTCATCAGATACCAAATTGAAATTCTTTTCCAGCTGATTGTAAATGTGATTCTAGAAATATTCCAGAGATGAGAGAAAAGAAAACAGGATCAATGCTGTAACTAATGACTCTATGTACTCTGTACTTTACTGTTCTCCAACATTACCAGTTTTTTTGGATACATTGTTTATGTGATGATTTCAAAACTAATGCCAAATTTCTCCAGCATCTTTTCCTCAAAATCGTCTGGATGCAAAACTTCCACAGCCGATTTGCAGTGAGAAGATTTGTTGTCTTTAGATCAATATGCTTCATCTGCACCTCTGCAGCCGTCCGCAACAGCTGCTGTTGTTAACAAAGACTGAAAGCATTACATTGTATGTCACAACACGTGTGCGCTGGTCTACGCATCCTGCATTCAGAATTAAAGTGCGGTGGTGCATGAGCGTCATTCATTATGTGGCTTTTGTTGTACTGTCTGAGGAAATGTACTGTTTTTAATTTGAAAAAGTGCCAATTGAAAATTCAGTGATGGCAGGTGTACATAATGTATCCTTGTTGTATACAGTAATGTACATGTAGCTCTAAATAGCAGAGATTTTGCCAGATTTTTCCTGATTTCATGATATTTTTGTCAGGATTTTTACTGACTTTTAAAGAATCAGTTTTGAAATCCGGGATTTCTGAGGATTACTTCAAAGATGTTTTTACCTATAAAAAGATTATATAGTATACAAATACTGAATGCTTTGAGTGGTGTAGTAAAAACTAGCCTTACGAGGTGATCCATCGCCGAGGGAAAATAGAATGCTCCATGGATCACCGAGGGAGGCTAGTTTTACCTCACCACGAGATAAAGCATTCAATATTTGTTTTATAACACTTCACCCACAGATTCTGCTTGGTTTTAATATTTTAAATTATTTAAATCTAAACACAGTTGAAATAAACTTTAATTTCAATACAAAATTGGTGGAAAATGTATTTCTCTATTCCAAACTACCCCTTCACGAAATGTTTGAACCCAACTCTGCGGCGCGCTTTCTTTGGAACAAAATGTGCTACGCGCAATGCGCAACACACACACCAGCATGCATTTGCACACAAATACCGCGCCGTGGATATAGTACTTTGGTTGGTAATGGTATAGTACTTTGGTTGCTACGGGTATAGTTCTTTTGGCCGTGCACAGAAAGATAGGAAAAATAGAAAGTATCATGTGACTCGCTCTTGGCCAATCAAGACACAGAATCTGTGGGTGAGGTGTTATAAAAGAAAAGGTTGCAGACTAGTAAATAAACTGCCATATAGCCCAGTGATAAATATGCCCACTTCCAAAATTCAAGACAAAAATACTCAAAAACTCTCCAAGGTGTTTGAGACACACAAATGTACATCAAATTAAAGCGTATTTCATCATCTTTCACTTTCTGTTCACTTCAATTTTTTTTTGGGGGGGGGGGGGTAATCCAGTGACTTTTGGCCAAAAGTTACATCCAAAGATGATCACCCCTAAAAGTAGTCCTGAAGCCCATGGCCCACAACATGCTCTAATAGCAGGAATTTTGAGGGCATGCAGCTGATCATGATATGGCCGGTGTAGGCAGTCTGGGGCAGATTTTTTGCTTACTGAGCCTCTGTTTATTATAGAGACCGTAAGCAGTAAGTAAGCAAAAGCATGCTTAACCCCAGAGGAAAAAGTTGCTTAAATCAGTGACGTAACAATAGAAATCTCCATGCACACGCAACCATTAGCATATCCATGCCATGAAATAGTGCTTAAGCAGCATGATTTTCTGCTAAGCACAACTTTTCTGCTTACTGTTAAGCAGCGTCATGAACTTGGGTCCTGGTGTGCAACCAAAAGAAATGGGTATTTTAAAGGTTGCCTTTTAGGCACAAAATACGAATAGACCCTATGCTGCATGCTCTGACTGAGCCCTCTGCAAAACCTCAAGCCCTCTGCCAATTATTTCATGGAATTTTCATTTTCCCCAAATCTCACCCTCTATGTAAGAGTCCTGTATAAAGTGCTTTCAAATAAACAGCATTCATTTTTGGGTGCAGATATAAACATGATAATCCATCTAGGATCAGTACCACAGGACCCTAGACTAGAAATTTATACTGTGCATGGATTAGCATGCAGTTTTACAAAGTAGCTTATTTACAATTCAATGAAGACTGGATTCTCTTCATCCTTGTATAAGTACATGCAGAGCACTCCTTTTATCGATCACCAGAGGTTCAGGCAGACAAACAACATACACACCGGAATAAATGATCTTGAATGCTTCCAGCTGTGGACATACGGTAGAGTGTATTTGTGTGACAGAAATTTAAGTACAATCACATAGTAAATTATCGTACATGTACAGTGACTCATTGTTGAGTTACTTTGCTTAAAAAAGAAGAGGATGTTTTGTCTCCTCACTCTGTTGGAGATCTCTGTGTGTTCAGAAAAGGTGTATGCAAACGATCATCTTACCTACCCGTGTTAAAATCAACACCGATCCATCATCAGCAGAACAGGGTCCCTTGGAACACGGGTACTTAGGCAAGGCATGCCGGTACCATCCACACTTACACCGGTGTGTGCAAGAATCAGCATAGATTTTGCATTTTCTACCCGGGTAGAGCCTCTTAACAACCAGGGTTTCATGTAGAATGCTGGACTCTTGTAGAAGCCTGTGCCCAATTTCACGGCGCAGCTTAAGCAGAAAAGTTGTGCTTAACCTTAAGCATATATTTCACGGCGTGGATGTGCTAACGGTCGCGCGTGCATGGAGATTTCTGTTGTTACATGTACGTCATTAAGTTAAGCAAGTAAGCGTACCTTTTGCTGTGCTTTTGCTGTGCTTTTGCTTATGGTCTCCATGAAATAGACGGAGGCTCTGTTAGCAGAAAATTGTGTGCCTAGCAGCGCTGTGAAATTGGGCCCAGGTTGGATTCTTTCTAGCGTGAAAGGAGTTCCAGAAGTCGCCTTTGGACCCTGGTCCAACACTGTGAGACAGGCTCTAAGTTGTTAAACTGCATCTCTTCTATCTCTCGATTTTACAGCTCCAGTCCACCCATGCACTGCCAGCATTTCTTCTCACAGATGCCTGAGGGTACTGTGTCCTCACCACTGCATGGATGAGTGAGCGCGGAGTGCCGATCAGCCTGGCCTTAGCGCCCTAGGGAGGTCTCCCCTTGGCCCCTTCCCCTCACCCCCTCCCCATGGATCGCCAGACTCAGTCCGTCGCGTTGGAGAAGCAGCACGTGCACGATGTCTACGAGCGGATCGCCCCGCACTTCAGCGACGCGCGGTACAAGGCCTGGCCCCGGGTGAAGGAGTTCCTGCTGAGCTTGGAGCCGGGCAGCATCGTGGCCGATGTCGGTAAGTAACACAACCTGCAAACCATTTTCAAGTGATCAGGAACATTGGGATTAACCCAATGGGCCCCACGTGTGAATAATGGATGATGCTTTGGACCACTGTCGAGAGTGGGACACACGGTGTGCGCATACTGGTGTGAAGTACGCACAACTTACTTGTATTTTATTCTGAAAGTGCACAAAACTGTAACATCTTTTGTGAGCATCAGGTGCTAATTTCACGGCTGCTAAGCAATAAAATTCCCTTAGCACAACACAATCTTGCTTATAAAAGCAGGTTACCAGCCAAAAACAAGTGCACGTATATTGCTCGTGATTAGTATTCAGCTGTTGTTTGCTAAGCATGAAAATCACATGGAATTTGGCTGATAACCTGCTTTTATAAGCCAGAATTTTTTTGTGCTAAGCAAATTTCTGTGCTAAGCAGCGCCATGAAAATGGGCCCAGGCGCAGTCGCAAATGCCTTCAAATGTCCCTCCCTGTGGTCTCATTCAACTTTCCCATGTTAAAGGGGCACTAGGTCCTGAAATCCCGAAAATGTTGTGTTTTGGATTGTTAGCCTATTTCAAACATCTGGTTGAAAGGAAACCAACCTAATGTCTTACCGTTCCCGAGAAAAAACCTGCTTGTTTACATCGGACATGACAGAGTACGAATACGTTTTTTCGTGTCGTTCTCATGTACGCTACGCGTTGTGTGTCTCGGGAACAGCGCGCGGTGACCAATCACCAATGCAAAAAATTGTGGTTTCTTCAACGTCCGCAAAAGGCGAACACTTTACGCATACGAATGAAATCACAACTAGCATCCAAACAGCTCGAATTTTATGGGGTCGCAAAAGTGGACCCCGAAATTCGCATGCATAATACAGGAATAACACAAAAACGCCCAGTTTGAAAGGATAGTTGTGAGGATATTTATATCCTACTTTTAAATGTTATTTCCGATTATCATCATCTCGTTCAAAGCACGTTTTGTAGCCCAATTGGGCTGTTCCGGGACCTAGTGTCCCTTTAAACGTTGAGAAGGTACAATGTACAGTGTGCGTGTGCATGGAATCCCAATCACTGACCCTTCCTCTCTTTGTGCATGTTTTGTTAGAAACCTTCCTGCATCCTCAAAAATCCTCCACTGAACAGGAGATCAATGGCACATTCTCTCAAAAGTGCTCCTTTAAAAGTAGCACATAGGCGTACCGGTACATGTACAAATGTACGTACATGTACATGTATGTAGCTCTGTAATTCTAGGAGTTCATGCAGATTTTCATTCAGTCTCATAATAATGTATGTGTCTTGTAAGACCAATATATACAATGTGTTTGACTGGAACACATTGGAACCTCTAGAAGACAACTTACATACATCATGGAGTATCGAGCAATTGCCTGGATTTGTTTACATGTAGTATCAACAGGGTTGCCTGATTTAAATCACGTTGATTTAAATTTTTAAAATCTGATTAAAATCAAATAAATCCGATATTTTAAAAAAAGAAGATTTTTAAACAATACAAAAAAATCACCAAGCTTGAGTAGGTATTAAGTGATTGCCTGGACTTGTTTTTCTCCAAATGATATCACATCAAACATTGTTTTTGCCTTACAGAAAAATCAAAGCTTCACAAACACAGAGTACATAGACCATTCCCAGCACGCTATCACTGTACACTCACGGCCCCTTTCAATGGCGTAAGCATTGTGTCAGCTGTTGTTCCAGGTAATCCCTCATGAGGAAGTTGCTTTGTACAATGGCCAGCACAATGCTGAAGAAGGCCTCGGTGAATAACACACTCAGAATGGTCCATACACAATGAATTACTGTATCCATTCGACCATAATATAAGGTTACAGTTTCAACATAAAGATGTGACAATGCGGAAGCTGCTTTTCAAAAAGGCCTTAAAAAGTCTGAGATTTATTTTGAAAAGCTCCGGGAAAAAAAAGATCGTTTCCTGCACTCTAACTAGTATAATACGTTTATTATCATTTCAAGAAGTCGCGGCGTCGGATTTCCTTCTCAATTACAGGAGCTCATTCAGTCGGGCGCTTCCTCTTTCAACATCCTTGTGTCCAAATGCTGCAAAATCTAGGCTGATGATAACGTCTCAAAGAAGCTTTTCATAGGCCTACATAACTTGGCCATCGGAAATCTCATCGGAGCAGAAGACTCTTTTCTGTCATCATTCTAAATCCTCTTCAGCGGTTTGCACTTCTTAGAATCATTTGGGGAGAGTGGGGGGGGGGGGGGGTGGAGAGGGGGGTAGCGTGCTTCAACTTTATTGGATTTCTGCTCTGTCCGTGTTAATACACAAATATAACCGACACCGAGAGGACCTTGTATTTCATAAAGCCTGTCTTCTCCCCTAGGGGTTGGATTCTAGGTGCTCATTTCAGCGGTTTTGTGGGAAATTGCTTTCCGAGGAAGTGGGCCGTGTTTAGTTACAAAATATTGAACAGCACAAAAATGTTGTCATTCGAAATGTACGTTGCAGTTTTCCACAGGAATTGAACATTGTAATGCTTGAAATCAGCTGTAAATGTACATTACACAAATGTATGCATACATGTACCAGTACAACATGTACAATGTTCAATCTCATAACAATTTCACCTTAATGGCAGTTTTTCCCTTAGAAATTTCCTGTGAGGAAAAATCACTTCTAGCAATTTTTTAGTCATATCGAAATATCTAAATTTTCAATACTGAGGAATGATATTGAAAATATGTCAGATTATCGTCAAAATGAATCTCCCTTTTGTGCTTTTAGTTTTACTTTGTGTTTAACGTAATAGAATAAACCTCGGCGGCAACTTGTGCTTGTGACTCAAAATAAACACATCGCGAAATGCCAAGCGGCATCGCTTTGTGCGCTGCCTTCGCTGGAATTCACATTCTCCCCTTAAGTAAAACCTCAAAAGAAACCGCCAGTTCTTGACGAACTGTCAGTGCTGAGATTTGTTTTAAGAAGTTTGAGCAATATGCTCCAAAAAAAACAGTGGAAAATTGGGACTTCAGGTTTTTTCTGGTTTTTGGGGTTTTTTTTTTAACTCAAAGTGTCATTATGGTCTTTAACTTTACATGGGATAATCGATATTGAATATTCTCGATATTGGATTTCTGATAATAATTATTGAAAATTCTGATATCAACGGTGCTTAGTTAATATACTCGTGTTGTACAAACATACCCGGTATGTGTACAGACACTCTTGTTTTACTATATTCTCGAGGACAATGCTTTGTGTTTCCCTTTGTCCCTGTAATATAACACTCTCCCATAGACTAAGCACTCAAACTTACTACAGAGGACCATTTCAAACAAAAGACCCAACTCCCGAGGACTGAAAGGATCTGTTGTTCTCCCTTTGTGTGTCGGTCCTCGGGGGTTATGTAGAACACGTACATGTACCGGTACATGTATGCAAAGAGCAATTGGTGCGTGGCACAGGTACACATACACGTTGGAGTTACATGCACCCTTTAATAAAAAGTACATGACCAAAATGTTTTTCCTTACCATGTATTATTATTAATTCGCTCAGTTCTACGTTATAGTAAACAGGTTATTACAGTCATCCGGCTCGCCCCCGCCAAGGCTTTAATCTGAAACCCTACGAGGCGAAGGCTTTAATGAATCCTGAAAGCAAGATGTGTACTAACCGACCCTAGAAACCTAATAAGAAGGGAAGAAAAAAAATCAATTTGTTCTTAGCAGGGGAGCAAGAGACAACATCGCCGGTACGTAATTTTCTTCTCAGCATCCTTGGGATGCTTCCAAACACCTTGGGCCGCAGACGAGATAATTAATCGTTGTCACAGCAACTGCATCCTGTATCTCTGCGCCGTTCGTAAGCTTTCGCTGCTGCCCTCGTCATTAGATGATACCTCATTTCCGGCAGATCTGTTTTCCCCCTTCAGGGAAAAGGGTTGGGGGGGGTGGGTATACATGTAGGGCCTCCTTGCATGCGTGCGTGTGATTTTGTCGTATCTGTTTACGCAAGAAACGGAACCCAGTCTACATGCATGTACACGTACTAGGTCTCTCTCGTTGTCCCTGTGTATTTGCAGTGATATCCCCCCCCCCCCCACAATGTAAGTGATTTTTCTCGTTTGAGTTGCTTGTGCTGATTGAGTCTGTGATTGAATCCGTCCTGGCTTATCAGATTTGTTCACCTTCAAGGAAAAATGAGTTTTTTTTTCCTTTCGTGGAAAGCAATCCATACAATGTAGTTATGTATCATTATTTTTTTAATAGTACGCACACATGTAGACGTATGGCAGATGCCAGACTGTACATGTGTATACAATGTAGATCTACATGTATGTATTCAGTGTACATACTTGCATACATTACATAACTGCATAGCACTGGTCTGCACTTTCGTTTCTGGTGATTAGTTTTAATGAGTCTTGTGTTATTTGATTAATACTCGCGAAGTACTATTGTGGCAGACATTATCACAAGTGTTACTACTGGTAATAACGTTTACAAGCGTCAAGGTTTTAATGATTTGTTTTTTTCATCGACAGTCTGCTAGTGTGATAGCTATTGATTCGCACTGCATTTTAACACCGATCCTACACACAAGGATTAACGACTCGGCCAAACGCCTGATTAGACGCCTGATAACGGCCTGCACAGGTGGGAATACCATGAACACTTGTCATCAAAGACCCCTGCGCCTGGCGGCTTTCAGATTTGGCTCTGCACCCGATCTGGTGTCGAAGTCAGTCAAGCCAGCTAATTATATTTTTGAATATTCATGATCCTACGCTTTTTGCCTTTATTGTTGAATTCTGATAAGTGATAACTACATAACCATGTTAATGCCGAGCACAATATCTTTAGATTTAAAATAAACCATGAAATGTCGCATTGTTTCAATCGGTTCGGGACCACATCTCTCTAAAACTTTTTAATGAAAGCCTAATTAAAAACATGATTTGGGTAAACGGTGTTCTCCTCAGAAAAGGTGTCACATTTGACGTTTATTTCCTGGGTATGTACTTCATCTTTGACGACAACAACTGCACAATACCATCTGCCCAAAGCCAAGAGTACTGGACATATATGGGCCTACATACAAAATGTACAGATTTTGTGGAGTGCTGTGGCCTCGTGGTTAAGGGCACTGATTCGTGGTCTGCGGGTGAAGCCGCAGGTTGTGGGTTCGAGTCCTGGCGGGGTCATGGTGCGTGTGCCCTTGGGCAAGGCACTTTGTCACTCATTGCTTCTCTCTACCCAGGAGTAAATGGGTACCTACATTGTATTTGCGGGCAGTGATGGTTATTGTGATTGAATTAGCTTCCTTGTGCCTAACAGGCAGCATCCAGCTGTATACTCCCCAGGGAGCTGAGATGATGTATATGGAATGTTTAATTGGCCCAATGATTAGGGGTAATAATGATGTAAAGCGCTTTGATCTTAGTTAAAAGCGCTATAAGAACCTGTTGTTATTATTATTATTATTATTATTACAGATTACCACCAAAAAGGTAAACAGTTAAACCTGTTTATTCCTGTCCTGGTTGTGTTGTCCAGTTGATTCATCTCTCAAAATAACACAGGATTTTTTAGGTTTGTAAGTTTTCCAGCAGTTGCATGGTGTTGGACATACATTTTGGACAATTCAACGGTGTGCATTTAATTACTTAAAATCGTAAAGTGGATTTTAACTCTAATAAGACATATCTGATGCGCGTAGTTACTAATGACTTAAAAAAGAAGTCATTTATGCAACTTTTTTTGCGGTAGTAGAGATCGGCTCAAGAACACTATGGTGTCAGACTTACTTACTCAGACAAAGTGAAATTTGTGTGTACTTATTAGGCCTAATTTTTCAGTTAAAAGTAACAGCTAAACTGTTGAACATTGGCAGGAGAAAACTTTATTTCAATAAAATACAGATAATAGGCCTAAGTTTCAAAATGATACATTTTTCATTTGTGGCATTTGGATTTTTTTAAGTTTGGCAATGAAGTTTATAATTCTGTGGAATTGCCCATTTTTTGTGGGGTTTTTGTTTTGTTTTAGAAAGCAGATTTTAATAATTTGCGTTGCTCATTAATGTCTCCAATTTCCATGTACATGTATTCATTGTGCAGTACATATGGCAGATCTTGTATGTATATATGCAGCAGCCTTGTTCACCACTGTTCAAGTGAAGCTTGAATAATTTTTAAAAGCATTAACACTGCATTCACTGTTCCTGCATCTACCGGTATGCCCATTACAAAAAAATCAGCTCATCTGGATGAACGATTTCATTAACAAACACGCTCAAGTTTGAAGAATTCTGCCCTGACCCAGACAAACACACACAGCATTTGTTTGTGCTGGCTGGCTGACCATGCTCACTCCCCATAAATATTCGACTTTGGTATGCCCGGGGCAAAAAAAAAAAAAACAACTGTCTGACCAAAATTCATGAAGAAAGAATTGCATCTGTTTGGCCAGCAAATTAAATTTGTGGTGTTATTCAGTTACACCGCATCGCAGTATCACACGTTTTAGTGCATGGCAATTTTTGTGCCAGTAGCATTGAACCCTTTAAAGGTGGGGTACACCATTTGCAAACCAAACAAATTACTGTTAAAAAGCTTTTCTTGGTTTAAAGACACGCACTTCACTCCCTGTGAAATTGTTCCTTCTGGCATGCTGTCATTTTGAAGAAAGCAATAAAAGACTGTCATTTCCAAAGATGTCATTTCCAAAGATGTGTCAAGTGACACACTTTTGGAAATTTCCTCTGGCAGCATGTTGACACAACGCGGATGTGGTTGCTGTTATTATAATTTGCGAGAATTGTCAGTTCAGTGTGTGACATCACGTACTTATGTAGCAACAATCAGCTGAATGAAAATCATTCTCGAAATGTAACGTTAGTTACGGCGTCAACTTATACGTTAGTTACGGTGGCCACTTTATTAGTGAATAAACCTACTTTTCAAGTTTTTTCTGCAAGAAATGGATCTTGACAAGACTACCGGGGTACAAGAAGCCCACAATTGCCTTGTTTGATACTTGCAGAAGATTGCAGCAGTGGAAAGTGGACACCATGTAAAATACCATTATAATCTGAAAAATATTTGGCCTATTGTCTTTTCAATGTTGTTTTCCACTTAAAGGGATGTTTCTCCCAACAAGTTAAGTTTCTCACAACAATTTAAGAGAAAACTAACAGCACGCAGCTTTCATCTTGTTTCAGATCTCTAATGTCCCACTTTTGGTTGGCAATATTGTGAGTGTTGTGACCATGCACAAATGCATTTGAAAAAAACTTGGTGTCTAATTAGGCTATGTTTTGATTTAACTGAACTTGGTGCATATGTTTGATTTTTTGCCATGGGTGCCATGTAAATAGTTTATGACCTTGGCCCATGCTTAGTCCTGAATTATTTAACGATAAAAGACCAGGTCAGTCACTATTAGAATTAATGACCTTACCCGGCCAGTCTCACCTTTATTCCCGGCCAGTCACAGCTGGTCACTAACCATTTAAAAATAAGACAAGAAACACTGCTTTCAAAAGATGTACAGTTCAGTGCACGTAAATACAGAAAATATAATGGAAGGCTACTGGCTGAAAAATTAAAATTCCTGAATCAGAATTTCCCATCCACTGAAGTTCATGTAGGTTTCCAATTTTTTTTTTAAATTTCTCACCATCAGGCTCGTATGGTCTGAGGTGCAGGGGCACTCCTCCTCCACCTCAATATAAAGCCAACATTGATGATGTACCGTAACGTGGCGCGGCCCCTAACATGATGCACTTTGATGTTTTGCCTTGCTATAGCAAAACTCTTACATTGTGTACCTCAAATTTCACAGTAAGTGAAATTTCATCAAGCTCTAAACATTTAAATCTTGAGTTTACGTACCAGCTACAAAGTTCCAGAGAAATTTTATTTTGGCGTGATTTTCCGGTTTAATTTTGAAGTGCAAAATTAACACTTTTGAAATGCCCACAAATATACGAAAATAATTTTCTGACAAACTTGTACTTTGGGTATGTGATTGGAGATAATAATGATTTAAGTCAGATTTTATCAACTTTAAAGAAATTCTTAAATGTTAATGTGGGATTTGGGTTTGTTCACTTTATTGTCTGTCTACGTAGGGTGCGGTAATGGCAAGTATCTGGGAATCAACAAGCAGATCTACAAGGTGGGCTCGGACTGCTGCTCCAGCCTGGTCAGCATCGCCCACCGCGCCGACCACGAGGCCATGGTCTGCGACAACATCCGTCTTCCCTACCGCGACGACAGCTTTGACGCGGTCATCTCCATCGGGGTCATCCACCACTTTGCCACCACGGAGCGCCGGGCCCAGGCCCTGACGGAGCTGGCCAGGATCTGCCGGCCCGGCGGGCAGATCATGATCTACGTCTGGGCGATGGAACAGAAGCTGAGAAAGGTAATAGTTTGTGAGGTTTTGAGGGATAAAAAAGGCTTATCAGTTCTTTCTTCCCCTGTCTCCACTGTCACGCTATTGTCTACCCTAACGATATTGAAATCAACATGGATCAACCTTTACAGGAAGAGTATGTCATTTGTCATTTGTGCATTTTTTTTTTTATTTGAAGCAACAAAATTGCTCATAATCTAAAGAAGGATGCTTATTAAACAAAACGTGATGAAGTTTTAGCTTGGTAAATGCTGTATATTCCGAGAAAACAATATTCTAGGATCTGGATTTCAATTCAGAAGTTGCCGAGTCATGTTTTGAATTGCGCCCGAATTAGCGTCCAGGACATCTTCTCATTCAGCCGATTGCTACGCGATGTCACGCACTGAACCGACAAATTATAGCAAGCGCTTGTGCGTCGTGTCAATGCTTGCGCGCACCCATTCACAGCTTCGCCGAATTAAAAACTAACTTAAATTTCCGAAAATGCCTCTTTAAATGCATCTTGGGAAATTACCTTCTTTTATTGTTTTCTTCAAAATGACAGCATGCCAGAAAGAATAATTTCACAGGGAGTTTAAAGTGCCATTACTATCTTTAAACCAAGAATGCTTTTCAGCATTAATTTTGTCAGGTTTTTTTTGGATAGCTGCAAATGGTATACTCTACCTTTAATAAGTGGAATCAGGTCCCATCGAACATGGGCATGATGGGTAGACAAGGCGAACTGTTCATGCCGGGGTGTACATGTGTCGGCTGTAGTTTTTTTTTGGATTTTCTACCTGGGTAGAGCCTCTCAACCCTGGTCCAGACCAGGATTGGATTTTACTTGCGTAGAACCCCGGAAATTTGGAAAAGGCGGGTTAGATTCTTGCTAATATGAAAAGGGTTTCAGAAAAATCTCGGTGTTGGACCCGGGTCCAACACTGAGATTTTGGATACGTGTGAAAGGACCTCTTGATTCTGTGGGTTTTCTCCAGACATTCTCTCGGTGTTTCCTTCCACATCTAACTGTAATTTCCATCATCTCATCCTTTCCACATTCTACCAAGGGACCCAACTGGGAAGGATTTGATATTCTTGCATGGGCTTTCCAGGTCAAATGCAGTAAAATCCAAGCCCTGTGTTGAGGCAGAGCTTGATATATTACTCACTGGACCAAGACCAGGTCTGGTGAGTTTCAGGTCTAGTGCTTTCTATGGCTGAAATAGACCAGCAGTCAGGCGGTTTTGCACACTACTGATCACCAACAAGTGTCCCGTTCAACAAAGTCGCAAGTTTATATTGACATTGTACAACTAAATTCAAGGTTCCTCTGTACTGCAATTGTTGTCATTCATTTACATGTACCATGTAAAACAGAGCAAAAAAAATGTTCTTCTAAATCACTTGAATGGAATTTTTCAAACAGAAATCTTTGCATTTGCTGATAATTTCTCTTTTTTTCACAGTTTGATGCACAAGATGTGTTGGTCCCGTGGCACTTGCAACCGAGAAAGCTGAAAAACAAAGGCAAGCTTTGATGGTCAAAAACTACAAATTGTCATTTTAACCCTAACCACCCCGAACCCTTCAAAATCCAACTGTTTTGTTTTGTTTGATTATGTTGGAGTGAGGACTGTACTAGTAAACTGACAGTTAACACTATCATAAGTAAGATGCCCTGCTAAATGCAACAATCCAGCACAGCTGAATAGAGAGCACCCTGCAACATGTAAATGAAACCAAATGCAGTGGATTCTTAGGGCCGGATTAAGTGTTCCGTAGGCCCTAGGCACCAGTGATCGGTACGCCTTCGCTCGTTCCCACCCCCCCCCCCCCCAGAAAGAACCATTAACTAAAGCAAAGTTTTAAATATCTTTTCTCCTTACAGAAGACTCAAGAAAATATGCACCTCATCATTTTGTGAGCAGCGGCTCTCCCACCGAGGAAACTTCCAGAAGAAAGCTCCACCAGAAGTCCAAGATGCACTCTGCTGGGAAGGGCATCTCCTCACATCAAGGAAGAGCACCATTCATCCCTCACCAGCACTCTGCCGAGTCCATGAATGGGTCCGGCAAGGCAAGGGCCAACCACAGCAAGGGGCTCCTCAGGACCCAGTCCGATCAGAGTAATGATCAACACAGCTATGCAGAGAAGAACCACTTCAAGAGGTTGCTTCTCCCGAACCGTTCTGCCTCCGTCGACGAGGTCTTCCTGAACATCAGCCGGGAGGAGAACGGCATCTCCTGCCGAGAGGTCTGGATGAATAAAACCAGGAATCTGGGATCTAGCAAACCGGGCCGCGAGATTGCCGGCCAGAGAAAGCGAGTGCTGCCGAGGATGTTCTCGTTTGACGAGAACCTACCCAGAGAGACGGGCGAAGCAGTAGAGGAGACATCCCTGATTGAGAGCCTGGCTTCCACAGCCACTCAGTTACTACGTGCAATATCCAGGCAAAACAGCCTGGACATGGACAGACAGCCACCGGTCAAGGAGTTCCAAGGTAAGGGGGTGGAGATGTCCACATTCAGTAAAAGTCTAGTATTTCGGGAAGAAGAAAAACCCACACCATGCAGTCAAAGAGATAAAGCTGTGAACTCTTGGTGTGATGGTGATATCCGAGGCATGAAGAATGGTTACTCTCAGGGAAATAGCAGAAGTCGAAAAGTTGATGTAAACAGGCATGCGTTGGTAAATGGCGACAAGGCTCAACCACTTAACAGCGACTCGGAGGACAGAAGTGACACCCAGAATGACACCAACAGGGTGCAGCCTTCTGACTATGACGTCAAGACCTTCAACTCAAAGGCCTCTATCCAACTGAAACCCTATTCAAATGCACAGCCCGTCGTAGGAATCAGCTGCCTGACAGCTCAGGGCGAGCTCTACCACAAATCCCGTCCCTCGCATAGTCTCCCTCGCAGGAGCATCAGTAGAGAGCGAGACTCTTCCCTGGACTCTGTCTCCTCCTCTGACGACAGTCTCACTGCCTTCCCCGTGGAGTTGGCGAATCCGGACGCCTGCGACAGAGACCACACAGGCAAAACCTCAACTCATGCACTCCCTGACAATCCGTCCATGAAACCCAGCAAATCACAAGTTTGTAATGGATCCAAGCATACCAATCCAGGTGCCTCAGTCACTGATGGTCAAGTCCACGCTGAGAGTCCAGTTTCATCAGATAGCGAACTGAAGTCCAACAGTACGCTAGCTGAATACGTTCTCCTATCCCAAGATATGACACAGTGCAACGGCTGTGCTTCCACAGTTCCAAAATCCAACTCTACCACTTCCCACAGACATCAACACCCTAAAACAACAGAATCAAGTCCAGCAGAAACAGATAGTGACCACAACTCAGAATCCAAACCGACTAGTAGTGGACCACTCACTGGGGAATGCCAGGATCTTAACTCCTCCACGGATGACAGTTCAACTCCAAATGGTCCTCTGGACGAAGACAAACCTCACCCTACGAGTCCCAAGGTCCGGCCCTCTCCCACCACTAAGGACGACCCCTCGCTGTATCTACGCTACTACCACGTGTTCCGGGAAGGCGAGCTAGCTGACCTCATAGAGGAGCACGTAGACAGTCTCCACATCTTGAGAAGTTACTACGATCACGCCAACTGGTGTGTCATTGCAGAAAAGGTCCAAGTATGGACCATATGAATGGGCAACTTGAGAATCAGGACCTAATACCCTAACCCTCCCAGACCCTTCAAAATCCACTGGTAGGTTTTTGAGAGGACTAATGAAGGTACATGTACATGTAGATCCCAGCCACTGTTACTGTACCTTAAGCCCCAGTCACACGTTTACGGTTTGGAGCTACAAATATCCACGGTTTACCAAGAATCAATCGATCTTGATGAACCATCGAGATTCGTGGAGAAATCGACTTTCTAAGAATGCACTACAGTTTTAGGACGGAAAGCCTCGACTGTCCTACGGTTTCTCTACAAATACACCACGGTTTCCTGCAAATAAAGCGTGGATATCCGTAGTACAACCTTTAATAGCAGAACCCTAGAGCATCCATGCATATCCGTAGGTCATTCATACCAAATTCGTAGAGATTTCTACCATGAATGAGCTATGAATCTCCAAGAATATGTACGAATAGCCACGAATAACACTACGAATCAGTACGGTTGTCCTACAGATATCCCATGGTTGTACTACGGATTGATTTTCATGACGTTTCACCACGCAAGTTTTGAACAGTTTAAAACTTCCGTAGCCCCTCCACGAATACCCAAGGAAGATGACGGATAACCACGGAGGTACTAAGGATGAATACGGTACTCCCAGGGTTTATCACGAATTTCAAACCGTGGAGATCCGTAGCTTCAAGCCGTAATTGTGTGGCTGGGGCTTTACACTTTTAGCCTTTTGAAAATTTAAGTTCAAAGAATGTGCCACTGGGTTCCTCCATCATGGTGGATATTATGGAGGATTTAGGGAAGGCACCTAGACGATTCCCAGGTTTCGTTGCAGTCTCGGCACAAATTTGTTCTGTAGTTGGACCAAATGATACATTCCTCTTTGCAACATTTATACTTGTTGTGAATATCGTTTGCATACAAATTGTATATCCATGTACATTTTGCATTTTGTATGGACTTACCATGTACAGGTCTCCATACAAACAGGTGCATAATTAGTAAATTTGTCTCCAGAAAGTTGGCGATTTTAATAAAGCAGGACCATCTGGTTAACAGAAAAAATCAATTTGGCAGGACCACTTGAGATTTTATCAGGAGAGATTTTCTGCTGATATCTGAAATCTGAACAGTTCCCACTGTATATTACCTCATTTGTATACCATCATTGTTTATTCACTAAGGCTTTTAGTTGGTGACAGATGGTTTATGTTATTGTTCACTGTTAACTAAAATGCTCATTTGAGGAAAAAAAAATTCAGGGTATGTACACGTACAGTACATCAAACTGAAACGTTCACATTATTAAAATAAACAAGGGGAAACTGACTAGGCGCATTTACAGCTCGTCCCAAAATACCCGCAACATTTGTTTGTGAGGCTCTAGCGTCGCCGCGGAAACACGTCCCGCCGTTGTTTTTATATCACTTTAAAGCTTGGAATCTTAAATTTATTCCTGGTAAGTATTGGTTTGATTTTCAAAAGGGTTTTGAAATTATTCGTGATCAAATAAAGACATGTCAAAACAAACTCAACCGATTTCAAGGAAAATCAATATCATGTGCATTTTTTCTAATATGGAAATGCTTCATCATGTTCATGATGTGACGATCTTGTTGCCTTTTACTTTCGGTGCTGCCTTTTCTTTATGATCAAATAAATTCACAACATTGTTCTTCGTTTCAAGTTCAATGTGTTTTGAATATATATCAACTTTTTTTGTGTTTTTGTTACTTCAACAGCTTGTTGACTTGAGTTTGCATCTGATGTTCCGCATCATCAATTTTCCTTGAAATCGGTTGAGTTTGTTTTCAACATGCCTTTATTTGAACATGAATAATTTTAAAACTCTTTAAAATACCAAACCAATACTCGCCAGGGATAAAGTTAAGATTCCAAGCATTAAAATGGTATAAAAATACTGACGGTACATGTTTCCGGGCCGACGCTAGAGCCTCGCAAAAAAAAGTTGCGGGTATTTTGAGACACGCTGTGCAGTATAATAATTATTGCAATTGAGTGGAGTGGGCATTGAACCTTGGACCTCTGGAGGACCACACAGGTGCTCTACCAACCGAGCTATAAGCAGCCCTTTGTTGACGGATCACCAGTTACTCAGTTCCCCTATTTGTACTAAAGTATTTTCTCATGAGTGATCCCCTATTTGCTATCCGCTCCGTTCACAAGTACCCCCTCGCCGGCAAAGAAAGTACAGTTGGGGGTGACCGACCGACGCCATCTTGCCTGACTGCAATTTTGCCACAATGCGCGGCCGTACCACTACGTGTACCTAGTACAAATCCCCTGGTGTACATGCGTCACACACAAGGAACGGTGCACGTCAACCAGCTAAATGTCTCGCCCATGGGACGTCGTTGCTAGGTTGGCGCATGGAGCCCATAAATGTCCTAGGTTTGTAAGCATTGGTAATGTTGCTAGCATCGTGGCTTTGGGCGTGAGCCCTGGCTACATGGCTGATATGGGTTAATGGCTTCGGACTAGCGGCCGTGAACAAAGACATTGACAAACTGGGGGACCGCCAACATAGGGCTTGGATAGCTTAGTCAGTAGAAAGCCGCTACGGTATTCTAGAAGTCATAGGTTCAAACCCCTCTCCAGTCAATGGTCAATTTTATAATTTTGAAATTTCACAATGTGATGCTGGTCGGTACATGCATACTGTCGGCCACTATTTTTTTTTTTATATTTACACGAAATTCTCAATGATATATTTGGTGTGTGATTCGGTGCTATATACTCTCGCGTATCAAGTTTCGAAATGACATCATGTCCGCCCCTCCAGAGTTGATCTGGTTTTTGATAACGCTTTATTTGAAATCATGCAATTTTTGTGTGGCGATCTGAAGTAGTCATTTTTTCCATGCAGCAAGATTTGAGAAATCTTTTAGTATACGTGAGGAGCCCATGAGCTCTGCCCTCCCCCAGTCTGACGATCAGACATGCACGTGTGCAGAGCAACACCACAATGTCTGATGTATCCGTGCATGTTAATTTTATGCAAAGTAACGCTGTGCGCCAGCCAATAGGAGCTGCCTTCAGAAGTTGTGACATCATTTAGAGCAGAAATTCATCCAAAGCTGTTGATTGGTCAATATAGCTGCCATGACTTTTGTCATACAACATCAGGTTACCGAAAACATGATAGAAGGTGCCTGCTGAATGGTCAAAATCTGGAGGTCAAAGGGCAGTGTTGCTTTGCATAATCTGCATGCATACATATCATAGACGCTTGCCATGCAAGTGTCTATTCCATATACCCCCCCCCCCCCCCTTCACTTAAAAAAATGTATACAGACTTTCATTTATTTTTTACTGGAAAAGATTTGATACAATAAACACAGTTGTTCCCAACAAAAGAGGGAAGGAATTGAATTGGCAAAAAATCGGCCAAATACATCAGTCATATATGAAAAGGTTACTGCACACATCCTACATGTACCGCATGTGTAGTGTTTTTTCCCAACCATCAGTTTGTGTGTTCCTATTAGGCCGAATAAAAAAAACAACATGTTTCTCGTCCGGGTTTTCGAAAAAAGGAGGAAACGGGGCTTTTTATTTTTTATTTGTTTCAAGATGGCCGCCATTTAAAAATTTCCTGCAATTGTTGGTGTTTCCACTGTTCAAAGACACTTTTAAAATGAAAGATAAGTTGGACAAAAGAACTGAACATATTTACAGTGTCATTTAGACTTGTATTGGTCTACAATTTATTTTCCGATGAATTTGTGGACTTTTCCGGTGTTTTTTTTACTGCATTTTTCAAAAATAAAAAATAATAAAAAAATCCAGGCGGCCTCCAAAAAGGAAGCGGGCGGGGGCGAGAAACATGTTGTTTTTTTCACTTCGCCTTATCAGACGGAACGCCCTCTGTGTCGAGCCTTAGTCAGTGAATTTGTTTGATTCTATAAAAGTTGGACAAGGTTAAAGTCACTGAACCAATTTACAAAAGATCCCATATCAGATACACAAAAAGAATTACAGGTCATTGCCTTGTAAAAGTACACAAGATGCAATAATGTACATGTAGGTCGGGGTTATAGGGGGTCATAGAACTTCGGGTCAGAACAATTGCATATCAAAGTAGTTCGGGGTGAGCTTCTTCACGAAGCCAACTCCAACTATCTATAGAATATAATGAATTTCTTTTTTAAAAACAACACCACAAAAAACCACCAAAATTTAAACTGCCCTGTGACTGCACAACCAGCCAAAAAGGTATCACTGTGGATGTATTACTGTTTTTGGTAAAACGATCCACCCAAAAAAAAATTGAAAAAAGAAAACTGCCATTTTTATGTACAAATATCCTCTCTAAATAAAATTGATGTCAATGGATATATATTTTTTTTCTGTGTGATGAAAAATCAGAAGTAAAATTGTCAAGCTGGTGAACATCTGCGGCCCATACTTTGTATTTGTGTAAATATTGATTAGACTTGAGTGTGCTGATCTTTATGCATCGTTTATGCAAACCAACCTATGTGTATTTGGTTTTTTTTACCTTTTGTATAAAAACGCTGACAGTGATGTTTTTGAAGACCTTTTTTGCCTTTCTCAACTTTTGACGAAAAGCAATATCGATCCACTTCTTAGGGTGTACAAAACTGTATTTTGGGTACCAAAAGGCGTTATGTCTATTACGAGAAATGGTGCTGGAAAGGACTGACACAATGTCTTCACCTGTACATATTTTGTTGAGACCACACTACTGTGATAATAGACCATTATCACGTTGCGGCACAAAATGGGTTTCTTAGCTTTGCCGTTATTCAAACATATCTTTGGATTTACAGAAGTAATCTCAATGAAACAAACGGTATTCTCAAGCTAAATCTATTACCTTGAAGATGGTGTAAACATTTTGGTTGTAAATTAGCAAAAATGGAGGGTTTACATGCACCAATTTTTTTCAGGACGCCGTGTATATGATTGCCTCACACACATTTGTACATCATTGTAATGACTGTGATCATCAGTGCTTCACTGCGCACAAATTTGTGAAAAAAAATGCCATGTGCATTTTGATCGTGAACAATCAAGTCAGTTCCTGCACGAACAAAAAAGCAATCTAAATGCAATGCTTGATCGCTTATGGGAATTCTGATGTGGTATTGAGGATGGTCCAAATATTGTCTTATATTGGAATCAGATTTAGTTCTACTGAGAAACTACCGGTAGGCCTACAGTAGGAGGGAAAACACATTTGTCTCCCGTATATGCCTTGTTTCCATGGTAATATTTTCTCTCCTGGGATGACTGGCATTGTTTTTACATGCTGAGGATCACATTGATGAGGAAGTTATAGAAATCGGTTTGAATATTTTTTTTATTTTCCAGGAGGTATTTTGTAAAACTCGTTCTTGTGATGGTTGATGCTTCAGCGAGGCTGTTTGTCTGAAGTAAGTAAGGCTGGTGTAGTGTGAAACTTAGACTCCATGGAATACAGACTCATTGATTGCATTGCACATGCCTTCTAAAGTGGACATACAGTCATTAGAACAGTGTGACAATTGAAGTCTGTATTAGAAAAAAGAGACCAGATTTCATGGGGTCCAAATTTCATACCGCACCAGTTCATACTGCGTGCGAATGCGAAGCAACTTTTGACGTCACAAAGCATTCGCTGCCAAATTTGCCGGAGTCGAAATGCGTTCGACCTCTGCAAATTCGCAACATGGAAAACTTAACGTGATGTCACAAATTCGCCTGTGCATTTGCTTTCGCGCCGGGTACGAACTGGCCTTTAGATTGGAATACTTGTTTTAGATTTTATTTGGTTTTATCTGCGACAAAAGTGTTCCTGTTTTGTTTTAGATTTATTGTGCAATGATAATGTATTCAAGTCTATGTTTGGTCCTTCTTAATTTAAGTACATGTATGTCTGCAAACTATTGGATTTATTGTGTCTGAGTGGTTTTTTTCTGCATTTGCCGTAGAATTATTCACATTGGTGAGAAGGGGCAAGACAAAAACTGTAAAAGCTGCATTAACATTTTATGAAAGTACTTAACTTTTCCCCAGCGTTATGGTCATATAAAGTTAATATTGTTTTAGCATGCTGTTTTTTGTGTTCTGTGTTTTCAAAAAAACCCCTCGTATTTTTATTACAACTGCTTTAAAAAAAAAACATACGTGAATGTTTGTAGGTATAATTAATAATTTTTGCCTGGTTTTTGGTGGGTTTTTTGGCTACTGAACATAAAACTACAATATGAGGTTGAATATTTAAATATTCCTTTTGGGAATATAAGGCTCTTTAGTTATTTTGTATGAGCCCAATTTTATATCTCTGCTTACCATTAGTGAAAAAAATCCTCTTTTACTGTAAATTTCCGTGCCAACAATAAGCATATTTCACAGGTTAGTGAGGATTTTTGCTTGTGTGTATGCATACATTGTGTTGACATAAAGATTCTGTGCTAACTGGGTTAGG